AGAAGGGTCTAGGCCCGAAACGTCAGCTTTCCTGCTCCTGTGATGCTGCTTGGCCTGCTGTGTTCATCCAGCTCTACACCTTGTTATCACTGATGTTTTTTGGTTTTGTTTTATAATTTCCATGAGACACTTGGACTCATTTGGTTCTCAAAATAGTAGAACTTAATTATCTTTGCCATTTTTCCTGAGTGCTTTCAGTCTACCTTATAAGCATTGAACTAATAAACTGAATTGAGATTGTGCAAAGAAATAAACAGAGGCTGGCATAGAATGTGATTTGGCTTTCGTTTCTCTGTGCTGTGGACTAGTTTGCTTGGTGAATTCTGAAGCTGTTTCCAAGATATCTAAAGCTATATAAAATGTTGGGTTCCTAGTTTATTCCTTGGTTCATTTTTTTTTTATTTGAACAGTCTGATGGATGAACTGCAGGGATTATGAAGACACAAGCTAGAACTACAATTTAGTCTGTGTTTGAGGAAGAACCAAATCTTAGTGATACATGTTCTAATCTAGATTTTCTTCCATCAAAATTGTCTAAGATAAAGAAGTTGCACCACCTGTTTTGAGCAGCAAGTTCTTGTCTCATGGTGTTTTAAACTTATAGCAAACTGTTTATTTAGATTAGTTTAAGAAATTAAAAGCTGGATCATCTTAATGTTTTATTTTGTAGACTTTTATGGGCAAGATGGTGACAAGGTCCATTTGTTACTGCAGCTGCCAAGGATGTTCATGGTTTTGACTCTATCTTCTATGCTGTGTTCGCAAATGTTCTGAGGGGGGGGAAAACCCTTTCCAAATTTAAAAGAAAATGTACAGTTTTTTTTTTTGTGGGTTCTACAGCCTATGGTATGGGAGCCCATAGTGTATGGTAGTATACTGGTCACATTTCTAATTGTGCTTTATCTTGCATTAAAGTTCTTCTATGAATGTGCTGTCAAACAGTATTTTTTTTGCAGCTTAGTTGAAAGCAATTATTTGCATATGCTGATCCCCTCGAACAAATTCATTTGTGCACTTTGAGATTTTTATAAATCTCCTTTTCTGTGAGGGAAGCGTGTGCTTGCCAATTGGCGTATCAAATGCTTTGACGTAAGCTAATTGCTATTCGTATGTAAAGTAAGTAATGTTTTGTTTATAACTAAATGTTAGTTCTTCTGAATTTTTAAGAACCTGGCTACATTTGCTTTTGAGAGATCCAGCTTTTTTAGCACATGGCCAATAAATGCATTTATTGTAAAATGTATTCTGTTATATTCTTAACATGTAAATGCCTGTTTAGGGTATTGTTTACATTGCATATAAAAAATTCAAATTCTGTTAGCTGTAGATTAATGCTCATTCTGGTGTGTTGTACAAAACTGATCATTTGTATTATCAGCTATCTTCACTTGCTGTAATATTGCAAACATTTTTCTTCACATCCTGAAGACTTTCTCCGTGTTCACTCTAGCTTCATTGTCTTAAAATGAAATAAAAATACAGACACTAAATCCCTTTGTACCGTGCATTTTTGTTCTCTGGTGATGATTAAGTATCAAAATTAGCGTGCTGCCGCTTCTTTCAAATTACTGGCAAATAGTTGCTTAGCTCAATGATAGAAATTCTGCAAATCCAATTTTGCACTTTAACGCTTGTGAATGTTGTAAGCCACATGTTCAATAAAATTGATTGTTTGTTTATCTTAAGCAGAAAACCTTTAATTTTGCATGTCTATACAATGTGGAGCTGGAGGAACACAGCAGGTCAGGCAGCATCAGAGGAGTAGGAGTGTTGATGTTTCAGGCCTAGACCCTTCATCCTGAAGAAGAGTCTAGGCCCGAAATGTCAACTCTCCTACTCCTCTGCTGCCTGACCTGCTGTGTGCCTCCAGCTCCACACTGTATCGACTCTGACCCAGCATCTGCAATTCTTACTATCTCTGGCTTTGTACGTCTAGCTTGATCAATAGCATTGATATTAAAAGATAGGTCAAATTTTGTAAGTTACTGTTGCAAATCTTTACACCACCTGTAAGAACATAGTAGCAAATGTATGCCAATGCAGCTCCCCGAGTCTGCCCACCATTTCATTAACAGCATAGCTAAATCTCTTATTTCACTTTACTTTCTGCTTGGACTCTTTCCCTTTATTTGCTTAGCATCCCAAAAATATTCACCTCAACCTTGATTATATCAATAACTGACTCTATCCCCTTGGGCTTTGGATAGAATTGCAAAGGTACATAATTTCCCAGAGAAATGTCTCCATACCTGGGGAAGCAGTGGCATAGCAGTAATCTGGCGATTCAGAGGCTCTGGATGCACTCATTCAAATCCCTCCACAGCAGCTGGTGAAACTTGTTAAACCTGGAATATCAGGTGTATTAGTCTGTTACCTATCTGGTTCACTAATGTCTTTTCAGGAATTAAATCTGCCATTTAGTGGGAGGGAATGGCCTAGTGGAATTATCACTGGACTCTTAATCCAGAGACCCAGGTAATGTTCTGGGGACCTGCATTCAAATTCTGCCACAGAAAATTGGTGGAATTTGAATTTGATAGATTCTTCTACCCAGATATTTAATGATGAAAGAATCCATTGTTGATTGTCAAAGAAATTCACCTGGTTCACTAATGTTCTTCAGGAAAGGAAACTGCTGTCCTTCCCTGGTGTGGCTTACATGTGACTCTAGACCCACAGCAATGTGGTTGACTCCTAACTTACCTCTGAGCAGTTAGTGATGGGCAATAAATGCTGGCCTAGCCAGCAATACCTACAGCCCTCAAATGAATTTTTAAAAATCCTGCTAATGTGACTACAGTTAACTCTTGCCTGTCCTCTCAAAAGGCCTAGTAAGCCACAAGGGTGATTGGAGTTTGGCAAGCCCAGCATGTGTTCCCATTGATGCCCATGTCCCAAAAAAAAACTGGGTCCTAAATTGCCAATCTTTTGTCCTGCTACAGTACAGTTAATTGCTTCCTTTGTACTGGATGCTACACCTAGAAGAAATGGACTCTTGGCATCTACTGTGTCAAAGTCAACATTTTTTTTTTGTTTCAGAAATGTGTTGGAGAAACCCAGCAGGGTCTGACAGCACCTGTAGAGAGAAACAGTTACCGTTTCAAGTCTGGTGACTCTACGCCAGAACTGACTGTGTTTTTCCAGCACTTTGCCTTCCTAGTTGCTTGCTGTTCCTCTTGTTGTGTGCAATGACTCCCAAATACCCCTAATTGAAATATTGACAATAGTTGCTCAACTTGCTTTTAAAAAAAAGTGTTTCTGTTGCTCCCAGTGACTAAGCTCAGGCTTCATGCATTACTTTCTATCTGGAACCACCTGGCCCACTCACTTAATGTCTAAATCCTATTTGTAGCCTTGGAGTTCTCCTCAAGTGTGCATGCCTACCTAGTGCTTTTCTTCAGCAAACTTTGGCTATATTACACTCATTCTTCATGTAAGCCATTAATGTACATTGTAACTGAGAGGCATCAACACTGATACATGCTGTTCTTCACCAGTCACTGTCAACCCGAAAATGACCTGGTTATTTGTTTTATTTTCCTGTGCTTTAAATCTTGTCATCCCCAATATATCAACTGTAAACTCACCTTGTACAAGAGGTAAAGCTCCTGCTGCTGCATATTGTACTTCAATGCTGCATCCAGAACAAGATCATCTTCCTCCCTGTTCAACAGGCATGTTATCAAGAATTTGTGGTTAGATTTTTTTTTAAGTTTCTAATAGCCTCCACTAGTCATGAGTCTACAAAATGCTTGCACCTGAGGGAAGATATTGGTATTGTCCTTCTGTTATGAACCAGATCAAAGCCCTTCAGAGTATATCCAGAAGGTAGCATGGACTTTACACTTGCTCTTATTTTAAAAGTTAAGGTGTTGTGTTCTAAATGCAATTCAATTGGTCAAACTACTTGACTTTAAGCAAAACACTTCTTGAATTTTAACTATAGTGTAATGATAGACAAAAGAACTGGCTTACTAACTATTAAACTCTTAAAATAATATGGTAACTGTTAATTAACTGTTCTAGTCTTTTAACATTCCATAAACACACCCTTGACAAAGGCAATGTCAGTAAAATAGATTGTTTCACATGCAATCCTAGCAGCAGGAAGAGAGCCCTAGCGTTTAGGTGTAACAGAGAAATAAGAGTTTCTACATCCAGCTTCAAGACCCCAGCAACTTACTGAAAGCTAAAGCTAAAAATCCCAGTTCTGTGGGAGCTTGACCCCACCCACTCAGGCTGCTTCTCTTGTTTCAACTATTTTTTAAAAAATACCCAAGGCCTCAAGCTTTTTGTTCTATTGTTTGAGCATACCACTCATCACTTCCCTTCTCTCTCAACAGTTCTTCATAGAAAAAGACACCAGGACAATGTACCTCTTAAAGCTGTAATGTTGTCACCTTTCTTCCATCTCCCCTGCCCTTTTTTGTTTAAAAAGGCATCAATATACGAAGTGGCTTCATTTTTAAAAAAATCCTTTAGCCTTACAGTATTACACTACAAATACCTATACATCACACTGACTTTAAACATGCAAACATTCACTGCTACAGTCTTTTTCAGTTTTTTTTCCTGCCACTGAACACCTCCATTTTCATTCATCAAAGTTGCAACAATGCGTTGGCAATTACATTCTCTCCTGCCATGTGTATGATTTTTCCAATTGGCTACAATAATCTACATCTAAACAGTCTGGTATTTTTAATCTTAATTTTCTCATTTTTGAGGGGTTACGATCACCATATACAATCGTCTCAGATACATTACTGGTAATACAAATGTTGCAATGCCAATACCAAACTGTCTCTTCAACTGTGGAATATTTCTGTTGATGACTTCATTTTTTTTTTGAAAAATACCCAATAGATCTTTCTATCTTCTCATCATTGCCTGGTAAGAGTAAAGCACTGACACCCACGTCACCCCCATCAACAGGTGCCTTGATTGGCTTTGTGTTAATAGCTGTGGGTAGCACTACTTTCAGGCTGTCAAATGGCTTTTGACATTCTTCTGCCCACTAATTTTCGATACTTCTTCAAGTCAGTCAGTGGAGCAACTGTACTGCTAAAATTTGGTACGAACTTACGATTTAAAAACCATTTGGTCTTAGAAATCCTAGTATTTCCCTCTTTGTCAATGGTTTTGGAAACTCCCCAATAACCTTTGCTTCACATCTTATGGGGCCATTTGTCCATATCTAATGACATGACTCTGGAACATGACTTGAGCTTTTGTGAACTGATGATACTTAGCTAGTTTATCAGCAAGCTCACCTCCCAAAGATGATTGAACAATTCCGATAGATACTCCAAATGCTCATTCCACGTGTACCTAAAAATCTTTGAAATGTGGCTGGTGCATTTTTTTCATACCAAACAGCATGACTTCAAACTGGTGTCATGAAAGCCAAAATTTCATTTGCTCTTTTGCTTAAAGCCACCTGCCAGTATCCTCTGAGTAAGTCCAACTTAGAAATAGAAGTTGCTTGTCCCATCTTCTCAGTACAACCTTCCAAACGTGGAATAGGATTTGAAGCAGATTTTATAACTGCATTTGTGATAGTCCACGTATAATTGCTAGGTGCCATCAGGTTTTATCACCATTACCATAGGTGAAGTCCAGTTGCTGCACTGGCTTTGATTATATTGTCTTTGAGCATGCATTTAATCTCTTTTTGAGCCTGTACCAAATTTAGAGGATTGATCTACAATGCTGTTGCTTAATTGGAACAGCATTTCCTATCTCTACAAGATGCATAATCAGATTAGTACTTCTCAGCTTATTCCCACATCTCTCCATGTGATTGTAATAACTCTTTCAGGTCATTCTCATTGTCCAACTTAATTAGCAGAATGTCCCATTCAGGATCATCTGAACTTGATTCTTCACTATCTGTTGTAACCAGTTACGCATTCTCCTGTTGCTTTCTTTCCCTATCAAAATACTTTTTGAGCGTATCTGAGATTTCCTTCGATCTGGCATTTTTATCAAATTATTCACCTTTAAGCAAAACACACTTTATTTACACTACAGTTTTAAAAAAAATTAGCTTAACTGTAATGATTGAAATACTTAACAAAATAATATATGTATTGACTACTACTAATTAACTCTTCCAATCCAGTAACATACCATTAACACACCCTTAGCAAAGGTAAATTCAGTAAAATAGATTGTCTCATGCAATTTTAGCAGCAGGAAGAGAATAACAGCTTTTCGCTGTAACAGAGGGAGGAGTAAGAGCTTCCATGTTCAGCTTCAAGACCCCAGCAACTATCAGCCTGCAATCTATCTTTCAGAATTAATCTGTTATTTCCATGTGTTGATTTCCAGTATTGGAAAGCAGCTCCATTTGGTGCTAGGATGAAGGATGTCACACAACAGTTGTAAGACATTCTAGCGGTATGTGAATAGCCAATGCTGTGAATATATGCTGCAATAACACTATGGGTAGGAAGGGGGATGGGTCCTTAAATCAGAATTGATAGAA